AGAGAGAGAAAGAGAGAGAGATTTGGAGGAGGGGGGTGGTGGTGGTGGTGTAAAAGCAAAAAGCTTCCTGCACAGGTGATGTGTTTGGTGACAGGGTTTTGTCAAAGTGAAGGAACTGGATGTAGCGAAACCGGCTTATGGTGTCCGGTTGCGGATGCTGGCCTGGATCTTGTGCATTTGGCACAGGGGGACATACGTTTGAGATGTAGCGAAACGTGTAGGGGCAGACGCAGGAATTACATGATTTCTTTCGCTTTTCCGGAGATGAATTCTGTATATTTCTGTTTAATGGAAAAAAAAATGATGACGATCTCACGATCTTCGCCCTTGCATAGATGGATTTCTGTGTCTTTCACTAAAAGAGAATTAAAAACGTAATGATCCCATTTTGCCCCTGTGTAGATGGATTTCTGTATCTTTCTGTTATAAAAATAATAATGATGATTTTTCATCATCCTTGCATAGATGAATTTCAAAATCTTTCAGTAACCCCCCCTCCCCCCCCCAAACAAAAAAAAGAAACACAGCATAATGATCTCTCTTTGCCCTGTGTAGATGGATTTCTGTATCTTTCTGTTATCTGTCCGTCTCCAAAGCAAGCCTGTCGCACACTTCTCGGCCCGATCGATCGTTGGGTAATTGAATCGGACAGAAAATATCCCCTCTCCCATCTCCTATCTCTGCCCTCTCCCTTCTCTGCCCTCTCCCCTCTCTCCTCTTTCTTCTTCCCTCTTTTCTCTTCTCTCTCTTCTCTATCCCCTCACCTCTCTTCTCTATCCCATCACCTTTCTTCTCTATCCCCTCTTCTCTCTTCTCTCTCCCCCATCTCTCTCCTCGCTCCCCTCTCTTCTCTCTTCTCTATCCCCTCTCTCCTCTCCCCTCTCTCCTTTCCCTCCTCTCCCTCCTCTCTCTCCTCTCTCTCCACTCCTCTCGCCCCCATCTCTCTCCTCGCTCCCCCTCTTCTCTCTTCTCTATCCCCTCTCTCCTCTCCCCTCTCTCCTCTCCCTCCTCTCCCTCCTCTCCCTCCTCTCTCTCCTCTCTCTCCTCTCTCTCCACTCCTCTCGGTCCTCTCTCTCCACTCCTCTCTCTCTCCACTCCTCTCGGTCCTCTCTTTCCACTCCTCTCTCTCTCCACTACTCTCGGTCCTCTCTCTCTCCACTCCTCTCCCTCCCCTTTTTTCTCGTCCGATCTTGTCTGTCTGTCTGTCTGTCTGTCTGTCTGTCTGTCTGTCTGTCTGTCTGTCTGT